TAAGATATAAACCTTTTCCAATTATTTAAAAAGTTTTCATTAAGTTTAATAAAGATAAGAGTATGGTCTCACCTTTTAACATTAAAAAAAAAAAAAAAAAAAAAAGAAAGATGCTTAATTTTGAAAATTTTGATCAAAAATTCAAAATTAAGTATATTTTCTTTTAAATTTTAAAATTATAAAATAAATATATACTAATATGATATAATTTTATACATAAACCAAGATTACTTAGAATATAAAAGTAGATTTAATTGGTATAATTTTGTAGATTTTAATATTTTCTATAATTTTATTAATAAAAGTATAAAAAATATTGTGATCTTTAATTTTTGCTTAGTAAGTCTAATTTTAGCTTCTAAATAAAGTTGTAAAAGAGTGTTATATAACCAAAATAACAGTTAAAATACTAAAATCAGCCTAGTAGATCGCAAGATATAAATATTTTAGTTTTCACAACTATATACTTTTTTTTTATTTATATAAAAAAACATATAATACAAAGACAAAAATACTTATATCTTATAATATACTGAGCTGATTTTAATGTTTTAACTACTATTTTGATTACAAGATGCTTCTCTACAACCTTTATTTAAAGTTGAAAAATGGTTTAATTAGAAAAAAAGAGCATTTTGGTTAAAAATCTTCAAATTTGAAAATTTAATCATATTTTGTTATTAAACCTAAATATGTTTATGAATCTTGAACATCACTAAACCTGAACATGTTTATAAACTTTAAACTAAACCTGAACTAAATATAAACTTGACTTAAAAGTTCAATACTGAATTTGAACTAAATATGAACCTTACTTAAAAAAAGTTTAATATTGAACATAACTAAATTAAACCTGAACCTAAACTTGACTAAAGTTCAGTTTAGTTTAGGTTCATAGAACACTAAATATCAGAGTGCTCTTATATAAATCAAAAATTGCAAAATCTTTAAATCTTTGTATAATATAAATAACTTTAATAATAAAAACAAAAAAATTGTAATAATATAAAATTTTACTATTAGAAAACATTTATATACTAATTAGTTTTTAATAATTTTTAAAGCAAAAGTCATATGTTTTATTTTTTTTCTTATAAATATATATATATTTACAGAGTTTTATTATAAGTTTTGTTATTTATTATAAGTTTTGTCATTTATCATAGGTTTTATCATTTATTATAGGTTTTATTATTCATTATTCATCTAATTGAAGCTGCTAGACAAAGCAGTTTCATTATTTATCTAGTTTATTTTTTGTTAGATAATATTAGCCAAGACTGTCTGAGCTATATTAATATATACAAGCTATTAATAAACCTATTGCTATAGAAGAAATACTTAATAATAAGATGATAATTTCTATAATTTAAGCTAAAAAAAATAATATATTAACTGGGCAAGCAATTAAGGAAGATGATGAAAACAAGGTATTTAAATTACCAGTAATAGTTGCTAAAATATATAGTGCAATACAAACCATTATTTACTATGAAGAGTAAAAAAATTCAAAACCAAATTTGTCATTAAAAGAATTAGGGTTTTTAAAAAAACTATTCAAAAAGTATAAATATATAAATAAAAAGTCAAAAAAGCAATTAAAAATTACTAGTTTTTTTACTTTTCAGAATTTGTACTCCAATAACTTGTATCTCTAAGATTCATATCTTTAAAATTTATATTTTTAAGACTTATATCATTAAGATTTATATCCTCAAGATATATACTTCCAAGATTTGTATTCTCAAAATTCATATTTTTATAACTTAAATTTATTGAATTTATTTTCTTAAGACTTATTTTTTTAAGACTTGTAGAGTTTATATTTACAAAATTTGTATTTTCCAAATTTATCTTTTTTTTTATTTTCAAAAATTATATTTTAATTGATGATTTGCTAGTCATCTGGTACAATAATTATAGTATAATGTAATACAGATCATTTATAAAAATTAAAGCTTTTGAAATACAGATAGCATATATCTAAAACTTTTTTTGTACTAAGTTAATTGACAAGATTGTTTGATTAAAAGTTGTAGAGCTTGTTAAGATACATCTAATAGTAATTAAATCATCTAAATTAGCCTAGTAGTTCATGAGATATTGCTAAAAAAATGATTAGCTGACTATATAAAATTCCTATATAAACAATATAGTTATACTTTTTTATAATCACCTCCTATATAATTATATCTTATAAACCTTTTTATTTTTTAATTTTTTTTTTTAATAACACTGTCTCTTTATTACTAATTAATAGAAATATATATATATATATATATTATATTTTACAAAATTTTCAGTCTATTATTAGATAATTTTTTATTCTAATATTTTAGGTTCCTCTCTTTGTGGTGTTTCAGTTCCCAAATTTTTATAACTATCTTGAATGAGATGTACCAAACCTTATAGCTTAGTATAGTCGTATTAACTCCTATTTATCTCACTATTAGTCAACACATTCTGTGAAGTTTGCTTACCTTTGGATCATTAGATGGTGGATATTTCTATTTTGCTAAATATCACATGTTTTATACATATATTTATCTAGACTTTGGTAATCTATACCATGGCTCTACCTATACATTTGGGGTCAGAACTAACCATTGAACCCCTGTGATTACTTATTTCTTGCCCTAATTCAGTTTACAAAAACCCTAGTACTTATATTTGGAACCATTTCTTTATCCAGATTCTTTATTAGTCTCTCTTTTACTTCTAGCTAGCAACCTATTTGGGTCGGTTTGCCCAGGTTTTAAGTGTCTGAAAGATGCTTTTCTTTTGGTCTATACTTTTGAAGTATATGCTCTTTTTTCTAGTGCATTGGCTCAGCAGTTCAGTAGTGTGTTCCCCACTTAAGAACCTGATTGCTCGGTTCTCTGATCTTGGGCTCTAGTTCGAATTCAGCCCTCCTGTAGTATCGTTGAAGATCAGTGTTATATCCAAATTCAGGGCTTCTCAAATAGGTTTTTGGTTATACTGGTTTTTTAGGTTTATTGCACCAAAGCTCCTATTTACAGATTTAGTTTTAGATCCAACCAATAAGCATAGCCATCAACTAAATACAGACCTATTTTTCAAATATCATCATCCATGGGATTCGAACTCTAGACCTGCCACTTGAAGAGAGTGACAACTAAACTACTACACTAAGTTGCTATACTTTATAAAAATCTTTTTATAATCATACATATATATATATATTTAATTTGGTAGTCTTGTTAATACTATTTATTAAATTTACACTAGAGTATTTTTGGTTATAAATATTACAAGTATAGTTACAACTATCTAATGTATATTACAAGTATTAGCTCACCTAGTTACTAATTTAAGAATCTATCCCTTAAGCTGTAGAGTTCGTATAACAATTTTAGCTTAAAAATAGTATAAATTTAGTTATGATCTATTTTTTTT